ACTTATACTTCTTACATATGTATTAATTGTACACTTTTCATTGGAACTGTTATTAAAAATGTAACTGTGTCTCTCCCAAAATCCCTATACTGAAGCTCTATTTCCCAATAAGACTATTTGGAAACCGGGCTTTTAAAGAGGCAAATGAGGTTTAAGAAGTGACGATGCTGTCCTTACAAAAAGGGCAAGAGACACGGGACAAGTATACAAAAAGAAAAGCAATGTGAGGACACAGTTCAAGAGCTTCTGAAAGATAAAGAGAGGCCTTAGGAGAAGCAACCTCCTGAAACTTCATCTTTGACTTCTGGCCTCCAGGACTGGAAAAGTTAATGTCTGGCTATTAATTCTTAGTCCGTTCGTGTGTTAACACCCCCACCATCTCACCACAATCAGAACATCCCTAAAGGTTCTTACTGTATGGTTTGTAAGCAAATTAGCAGTTCCTTTCTGCTAACTCTGAGCTTGGAGGGGTGGGGGATTGCAAGAGCTAACCCTGAGCCACTTAAACCACTCAGGCAACATTAATTTGACCTGTATTCTCTATTGGTTGGTTTTACTTCAGTTGGTATGGATATCATGGTAACCCTGATCCTTAATAGTTTATGTAAAAAATTACAAGAGCTACAAACTAGAATATGAAGTATGTCCTATATGTGTGGCACTAAGAAAACATTCTGAGATTGCAGAAGCTCTGAGAACCTGGATCAAAGAGGAAATCATAGACCTTGTTCTTTCAAACTATTTCATACTCAATGCTTCCCTATTTCAGAAAAACCTTGTGGTTTTGTTTAAGTTCGTGCAAATACAAATTACCAAAAAGGATGTCAACTTACAGTTCACCTTTATTTTTTAAAAGCATATGATTATATTGTCATAGCAGTTACATGTGTGTGGCATTGTCTGCACTGTGACATGAGTATTCTACATGATGCCATGTTGTGCTCACAGCAATCCTATCCTCAAGAGACATATTGTGTACCTCTGTATAAGTATAATAACAGCTTCAAGCTTCTTTGTGTTTTATCTTCAAGTGATCTGAAAATAGTTATTACTGGTAAATTTTTCAAGAATGGTTAAATAGCTAGTTAAACAAATTGCATCTTGATTATTACCTATTCATTAGCTTCACCAAAAATAAACCACAAAGAACTATTACTAGGAAATACTTTTCTTTGAAATCCTGCTCATCAGTAAGAGGCTAACTCCATCACAGGTCAATAAATTGGGGAGAGTGAGACTGACTGTACACACTGGTTTAACGTGATAGTTTGTTTTCATCCACAATGACAACCTTGAGGCTTCATTCTTCACTTCCCCATGCTAGTCAGCTTTTACCATCTCTAGAAATTTAACTTTAATAGTTTATTCACTATCTATTTCATGTATGAATTAGCTATGTTGTAGGTGTTTGAGTTTTCCTACTGACTTTATTTTATGATTTCTAATTAGGCACCATTAGGCAAAGATAAAGTAAACACCTTATGATGTCATTACTCAAAAACTATATTGAACATATGTCCATAAGAGCATAGAACAGAGGCTGGGGAGATGACGCTGCCAGTAAAGTGCTCAAGTAATGCATGCCTATAATCTGAGTGATGGGGAGGCAGAGACAAAGGGATTCCTGGGGCTTGGGGGCCAGCCAGCCTAGCTAAAGCAGAGTAAGTGATCTCCAGGGTACTCAGAGACTGTTTCCAAAAAATAGATGGAAGCAACTTAACAAGGCACTCATTGGCAACTTCTGGCTTCATATGTACACACACACACACACACATGCACATACACTAACACACTCACACATACACCAATGATAGAAAGAAAAAATACATAAACTTATTAAATTTGTTTAAATACTGATAGTGTATTATAAGTAATAGAGTTTTAAAAGGTAAAATACAATTCTCCTTTGAGCACACTGCATTTTAAATTTTTCCCTTTTTTTGATTGGTGCATTCATTTACTTTTTTTGTTTTTGTTTGTTTGTTTGTTTCAGTTGGCTAGTTAGGGTTTGGGGGGGTTTTTTGGGGGGGACTTCTTTTTGGTTTGGTTTGGTTTGGTTTAGATAAAGCTACCTGTAGCCCAGGCTGGCCTCAAACTCACTATATAGCTAAGGCTGGCCTTGAACTCCTGATCTATCTTGTCTTCATCTCCCAAATGTTGAGATTACAGATATATGCATACAATATGGCTAAATACTACATTTACTGCCACAAAAATGTTAAAACATTTTAATAGAAAAATCAAGACAAAACTCATGCATTTTGTGACCAGCTTCTGCACATGCACTTTAAAAAGCTTCCTCAGGGTTCTCTTCAGGCTTATAAGTCAAAATATGTCCAGAATCCAATAGTGTCCAGATACTATCTTCATGTAGAACCTTAGTAAAAACGCAAGCTCTCCCAGGCTCATCACTATGTGCATCTTAATGTGATTTCCTGTAGAGTCCTAAGCACACATAAGTTCAAGACGGGCTGTTCTACAATAGGGGTTCTTCACTTAATGCCTGGGGCCAAATGAACTTCCTAAATCCTTGAACTTATTTTCTCACATGAATACACACATCTTCCTAGGAAGAGACTCTAAGTGTTTGAACCAAACTCTCAAAGCAATAAATAATCACATATAGAGTAAGAACCTTGCCCTGTAAGAGTCTATGCCACAGTTACCCTGCTCTTGGATTCAAAGTTACTTCAAAACTATGCTGCTCTCAATGAGGTCTGCTGAAGAACGACAAGAATGAAGGTCAGAACGTCACAGTAGGTCACGAAAGACCTTATCTGAAGAATTTATTCACAACATGCAAGAACTATGCCAAGAAGCCAGTTTGGAGACATCTAAACAAATAATTCTCTACATGAGGTTTGAGATTAAGAATGTGCACTTGAAGAAGATTCAAACTGAGAAGTAAATAAATTTAAGGTAGGGAGTTTTTGTTTGCTTTTTTTTTTAAGATGGGATGCCATTAGACAGTGAAGTGCTGAATTCTTGTTCTAAGAGCTCAATCAGCAAATCTCTAATGTGGACTGGTATCTGACAGAGATGTGGGGTCATTTTAGAATATTACCTTCCTAGTACATTCTTCTAATACTTTCATTATGAGGCTCCTGCCAATATATTTCATTCCCCCCCACCTTCTTCATTTTCTCTAGACCTCTCTGGGTAAAGTAAAGGAATATGGCACACAGATTCAAAGGGATGATCTTGGGAATGCCAGTGAATTACTAATAAAGACTGTCTCCTACACAGAAGAATTGCAGTTGATACATGAGAACAGGGTGTATATTTCATTCTCTGCTTTTATCCTACAGTCATCTCTTCTGGGTGTATATTCTCTTAGAGTACACATTGTGACTAGCTTCTGTTTTCATAAGCCACAGTGCAAATTCCACTCCATTAATCAATACCCAAAACATTAAAAAGGGTTACCTCATCTTTATATCTATGTGTGCGATCTGAAGTTAGAGTCGGGTGTAACATGCTACCTACCCTACCCCACCCCGAACCCCCACTGCATGTGGGTGCTGGGAACCAAACTCTGGGTCTCTGTAAGAACAGCAAGCACTCTTAACCACTGAACCACTTCAGCCTAATGAATTTTCCTTGATAGGGCTATGTGGCATTCCTGTGCATTTGTGAGATAGTCCCTGAGACATTCAAACTTCAACACTAATATTTTATAGATTACTTGGCTATTTATTTTTTCATTCAAAACAGCTTAAACAGACCAACTTGATTTTTTCAAGTATATAAGGAATAATAACAGTGAACCACAATGAAAGCCAGCAAGGAAAAGTAGTGAAAATAAGACAAAAACTAGCATTTGTTGACTACTTTTTTATGTATTACATACTTGTATAACTCTACAAATTAGGGTCTACTATCTTTTTTTGACAGATTAAGATACCAATTAAGCAACTTCCCTAATTACAAAGTTAGAGAGTGACACATTCTTGAACAGTTCAGAGATGAAAGGGCAGCAAAAAAGACAGGAAGGTATAAGAGAGGACAGTAGTGGTGAACAAAGAGTGTCCCTGGTTTTACCTAAAAAAATAATAGAAAGAAAACAAATGCATACCAGGGCCATTTCAGAGTAGATGATAAAACAACTGCTAATATTTTTAAGTAAAATGCAGCTGGAACAGGACTTGAATAGTCTGACACCAAAGCTGATGTTTCCAATCACTATACAAACAAAACCTAATATAATAGCATGTTTTCTCTCACATGTAGAATCCAGACTTTAATACATATACATAGGTAAGATGAAAATTATCAGGGAACCTATTTGTAAAGAGAAGGTACCAATGCAGGAGTTTAGGAAACAAAAAAGGGTAATGTGAGGCTGAGTATGAACAAAGTATAGAAAAAGGATATATTAGAATATACTTCTATGAAAATGCCATAAAGAATGCTATCATTTTATACAATGAATATAAGGAGGAGGAGGAGGAGGAGGAAGAAGAAGAAGAGAAAGGAAGGAAGGAAGGAAGGAAGGAAGGAAGGAAGGAAGGAAGGAAGGA